TGTTGCCATGGTTACTATTATTGTTTGTATTCTCACTGCTAGCATTGTTAGTATTGAGATTATGCTTGGTATTCTGATCATGATGCGTATTAGAATGAATATGAGACTGAGTACTTTTGTTCTAACTGCTGTTCCTAATATTATTTTTATTCTTACTCTTACTCTTGCTCTTCTTAAATGGCATGATTATGGTGCTGTGCCTATTCTTTTCACTCCTGTTTGCACGATTCTTAGATGGCGGTATTATTGCTTTCATCTTGCAGCTCAAAGACGTTGTACCATGCCCCTCCGACGTGCTGAAGGTACCTGCGGTGGTCCTGCACTTGGGCTTTTATTTTTGACGAGTTTAAGTTTTTGTTTGTCCACATCCTTGTTGTGTCTTCAGAGCTTAGGTTTAGGGCCCAGGGATGCACACCACTTGCCGCTTCTGCGATGCATGTCACTCACCCACCACGCACCCGCTCTGTCAAGGCGAGGCCTGAGTATAAACCTCGCAACAGCCGAATGCAATAGCCACAGAAATTAGCAACATGTTTTCTTGTAGCCAGTGGGTCGGCGAGGCTCTGATTCAGTTTTAGCATGCTTAGAGCTTGAAACAGAACCTCCCAACCTCTATCAACCCCCCGACTCTCAACTCTAAATTGCGGCTTTAGGGTTTGGGGTTTAGGGATCCTGCCCGCTTGCACCCAAACCCCCCAACCTCAGCAGCACAATAGTAAGTGGGGGTCCTTGCTGCCGGCGGGGTTTTCTCTTGTGCCGCAGTGATACCATGGGTCCTGATCAAGACCCTAAGCCTGTTCACCTTGAACCCTGAACCCTAAACCCCTGAACCCTAAACTTTGGAATTCATGGTTCGGGCCTTCAGCTAGGTTGGCCCTTTGAGCCTTCTGAAGCTATTCCAAGCAGGGTCATATTGAAATACAGAGCCATAAAGTGTAGGGACGTGTTCGCGCCGACTGCAGGATACTGATGAAGAGCCCCTGCTTCTTACTGAGATATTTTGCGAGTTCAAGACCCTGCTAATCCCTTAATCTAGACCCCGGTGTCCCTAAACCCAGCTACCTGTATCTCGGAAAATGATAGCGGCTTTTTTGAAGTTCCAGCTATCTGTATTTCAGAAAATGATAGCGGTTTTTTGAAGTTCCCAATAGGACTTTGTGTTGTTCCGTTGTCGGTATTTTCGACCGGTTTAAGTGATCAGTTTGTCGAATGCTTCCTCGACATTTCTGCGAACACGAGATCAACGAGGGCCTGACTTTATCGGGTTCTCAGGGTTCTCTATTGATGAACATGTCCCCGTGTTAGTGCAAGATACCTGAAGTGCAAGTATATAGATGTACTCCGGAATTTCATTCATTTTCTGGCTCCTTACATGGTATTGGCTTTTTGTGGCTAGCTCCCGAAGAGAGACCCCCACGACCGTATTCAGGCGCAGACTTTGCCAAGAACCACCACCCTAGAAGGTGTTCGGGGTAGAGATATGCCGGTGGGGCAAGCAACCTTTGCATCAAACCCGGTACCAGCAAGCCTAGTGCTAAAGCCATAATGATGGTGAGACCACCCGTATCCGCAAGTCCCCAGAATCCCGAACCTTCAACACTAAGCTTTGCACCCGAAAACTTCCCCGGTGTGAGGAGAAAGCTGAACAAGCCCCAGGGCAGCCGGGCCGCGTTGACCCACTTGTCACAAAGCAGGCACTTCAGCTGCCGCTCTCCTCAGATGGAGCTTCGGTTTGAGTGGGGTGCAGGCGCTACGCCTAGGGTTACTATACGGGTCAATTACTTTATAAGGGTTAGGACCAAAACACATTCAGGGTTCAGGGATGAAGATGGCAACGGGGTGCAACCGGGGGGGACAAACAAGCCTCAACTGCAGGCACTGACCCCGACAGCCCGGGCGGAATTCACCCAAAACCAAACGGCAAACCGAAATTCAACAATCGGAAAGGGCTTTTCGTTCCGGAAAGGGCATAGGGCTTAGGGTTTCAAACCGAGGATGAGTTGGCTGCGGCGGAGGGCTGCGGGTTGTTTATTATAGATCATGCCAATTCCTATGTCAAGAATCAGAACTCGGACATGCCACAGGCAGTGGACCGTCTGAAGATAACAAACCCGTCGGGTCGGTAGACGCCTGAATCCATCCCAAGCTACCTGAACCGAAACCCCGATGAAACACCAGCCTCAAACCCTAAAGAAAGCTCTAAGCCCTATAGATCAGCAAATCCGAAGCCTCTAGTAAACCGTGCACCCCCACTCCTGCAACTCTAAACCCCTGAACACTCCAAGCCCAATCCCTAAGCCCAAAACCCAAAAACAAAAACCCTAAAAACCACAACTAAAACCCAGCAAAACACCAAAAAAACAAACAAAACACCTGCATCTGCTATTTCTTCGCAGGGCAGCCGGTCACGTCATCAGGGATCAGAGGAACCCAGGCCTCGTCAACGGTGGTTGAAGGTACCGAGTTTAGGGTTCGTGTTTAGGGTTTAAGGTTTAATTTAGGGTTTAATTAGGGCTTAAGCTACGAGGGGCTTTGTGACGGTTACGGTTCCGGTTCGAGAGTTTGTTTGGGGCTCTAATTGGCTGTATTCAGAAGTGCAGCAACTGGTCTAAACGACAAGTCAAAAGCAACGAGACGTCGTGAGATGCCCATGCCACGAACCGCAATTCTAAGCCCGACCATCGTAAACACGTCACCCTAAGCCAGCCAACGCGGCACAACTAACCCGTCTAACCAACCCACCCGCATAAAGTAGGAGCTTCCCATTCGACAACAAAGACGAAACAGGCATACCGTGAAGCAGAAAAACCATTATCATCGAGAGGGTTGGCTTGCGACATGGGGTTCTCCTTCAGTGAGGGATTCCGCTTCCGACTCAAGCTTGACAGGGCCTCTAACCGCCTCTAACCCCTGCAAAAAGGAGCCTCAGCAATGAGAACAGTGCTAGGGAGTCTTACTATTTTACTGTGAAGAGAACAAGGAGCTCCGAGGTCCTGAGGCATAGTACCACCAACTACTTAGGCCTCTATGTTGAACCTGACAGCCCGACATCTCTCGGACCCCACCGCAGTGTAAATACCCAGATTAGATTTTAGGGGCACCTTGTAATATATTTGCACTATGGAAGCCTCAGGAATACCAGTAGTGACTGTTCAGGCTTCTTCAGTCAGATATGTGAGGGATGAGCTCTGCAACGCTGCGTGCCAAGGGTGCAGAAGGCACCATGCCCTCATCGTTGACTTGCAGGTACATCCACAGCACCCATGGAACCTCTCAGATAATATTTCGAATACGTACTATTCGCAAAACAATTGCTATCCTTCTGCTGATAGTTCAGCTTAAGGCTGCCAGGTCGTTGAAGGGTGCCTGCATATCTAGAATCTAGAACAGGCCTTCGAGGGTATATTCGACGACCCATATTATTCCCAAGGTTCCTTAATGTAAGTATCCTACATTATGCCCCAAAGCCGAATTAAAACTATAAGGGCAACTATGTCGTTAGACTCGCGCCTAGCTGCCAGATACTCGAGCTCGGGCGGCTCAAAGCCGTGCGTCCGATTCTGCTCTTGGTGGCAGAAGTATTCCTTATGCTTGGGCTCAGGGCTTCCGGCTTCTCAACTTCAAAAATGTCGGGTTTAAGGCTTCAGGCTTTGGAGTTTCAGAATTCAGGGCACAGGGCCTCGTTTCGGCGGTCTGCGCCGTAGGGGATCTGGGGGCCTTGAATTTTGGTCTCTTCACGGCTCCGCGGCCCTAGGGTAACCTGTGATCCCCGGGCTGGAATCTTACGTTAGCTGGATTCTTGCTTTATAATCAAGCCATGGGGTTAAGGGGTTTTGGGTTTTGAGAGGTCCAGCGGACATCGCGATGGTTGCGACTCAGGATCCGTAAGGAGTAGTATTGGTGATTGTTCGGGCTTCTAGACTGCATTTCCTTTAGTTCCTAAACAAAAGTACCTTATGGCTCTTTTATTGACATATACTTTGAACAACGGCCCTATGGGGCGCTCAACAACGATGTAGTTATTCGCTAATTGTTGAGACCCAGTCTCTGTGTCGAGTCGGCTCTGGCTTGGGTAGTTGGTGCCCCTTTCTGGGAATTGGCGTATTGTTGGGGTTCAGGGGTGTTTACCTGTCAAGCCACGGACTCATTATCCGGCCTGCCTCACCTTCCAAAGTTAGACTAGAATAAACTCACCGGGCCATCCGCATTATCCTGCATGCCCCCCACCCAAATTTCGATTAATTCAGCGGGCCATCCGTAGTATCTTGCCTGCCTCCCCCCCCCCCCCAAGATTATCTTGAAATCTTTCGCCGAGCCATCCACCCCCCGGCCACTTCCCCCAGAACAGGGCTTTGGGTCTATGATCATTTACATATGCCGGGACGTAAAGCGGAATACGGGATTCCTTAAACCCTAAAGCCCTAAAACCATAAAGTAACAAGAACACCACTCGGGTCCCTTGAACCCTTAAGCGACGAAGTTGGAGCGTTGGGTCCGAGCGGTCAGGGCTTAGAGATCGATGAGGGCTCTACAATACCGCATAAGGCGGGCTTAATGTAGACCCCTGATGAACAAACACCGTTGTTTAGAGGCCCTAATTTCGTATCCCTGTGTTGAGGACTACATTACTGCAAACCCTCGAACCCTGAACCACAAGCTCGAGCAAGGCTCCATCCTCTTCTTGTGCTCAGAGGACCAGAGATGGTTCTCGTCGGCGACCTTCCGGCACAATTCGCAGCGCACCTCCGGATGCTGGGGCTGAAACCTGCGAAGCTAGCTTTCGTGGTAGTCCCCAATACATGACAAAGAGAGGGATGCCTTCTCCATCTCAAACAAGTCAACTTTCTGCTGGGGAAACAAGGAAGAAAGTGCCCCTCAATTATCACGCTGCTTCGATGTTTACCTGAAGGTTATGAAACCCTTTGATTCCCCAAGGCCTACACCCTCTGACTCTGAACACGCACAGTTCTCCCTCACTGTCTCACTATCTCACCCTCTGCGTCTCGCACCCTTTCACCCCCTCGCCCTCTCACTCACGGACTCCCTCAGACTCAGCGACTCGCAAAGTCACAGACTCACAGGCTCGCTGACTCGCTCGCTCGCCCGCCCGCCGACGGAGTCACTCTCTCTCTCTCTCTCTCTCTGTCTCGCTCTCTCTTTCTCTTTGACGCACAACCTAGTCGTTGAGTCATGGGGCAAACTGACAGGGCAGTTTTGAAGGTAAGGGTAAGAGAGCATATACATGAGTCAGCTTCTACACGCAAGTACTACACGAAACATCTCGAGTCCGCCTCTGATCCCTGGAGCGTGCTTTAAAAATGCATAAGCTGGCGATGTAGAAACAAATACCTCCGAATACCCTTCCCTTTTCAACGTCAACTCTGCGTCCCCCAAACACCATGAAGCGATGCACCTCAGCCTTAAACACTAAAACCCTCTGCCAGCAAGGCTCCGTCCCGTCGAAGCCCACCGTCTGCCAAGCCGAGGCGTGCCTCGACAGCACGACGCACAAAAAACTGAGTTTGTTGCAGCTCAGAATTTATGCAGATCTGCTTGCGCTTCGGATTCGGCAGTGAACCCCAGACCCTAAACCCACTTTGAAGATGTAAAGATGACGAGATCAAAATCAAAACCCTCCAGGACCAGACCCGAAAATCCAAGCCCACCTAGAAGAGGGAAACACAGGAACATCGGTATCCTCCTTTCGGGTTTAGAGCCTACGAGTAGGAGTTTTTGGTCTGAGAGTTTTGTGGGTTCAGGGGTCTTAGGGTGAAGGTTTTTGACCTGCAAGCCTCAGGACTTCATAATTCGCCTGGCCGGCCGAAGCGGTCAACATGGCTCCAAAACTCCCCCCCTTCCCGAGGCCCTGGTGCCCACCCCCGCTGCCAAGACTCTCGGGGGGCCCGAGGGACGACGCAACGCGCTACAATTGATCCAAGTATCAAAAACCAGATGAGGTGTAGGCTACTCCTGCTACTAACATGACTAACATGTACTAATTCATCTGGACCTCAATTGTCAGTAGTCTCTTCAGAACCCTGTCCAGACAGCACGAATAGAGGGGCTTTCTATCTGAGTTTCGGTTTGGGGATTTGCCCCTTTGGCAGGTCTGGGGCCCAGGGCTTCTACGTAGTTGGCGAAAGACACAAGGAGCTTGAACAGTAGTTTAATCGTTGATTTTTTTAAAAATACCTGTTTTATACTATTTTCATACTATGGACACCCTCAGATTGCACCGCATAAGGCAATCCCCCAGAGCTATCGAACAACAACTCGGCTTAGGCTTTAGGATGGAAAATTCACCACCTGCCATGAATGCCACCCTGCCACGAGTGTGAATATTTAGCCGGAGCGCACTAGGTGAGTTTGAGCTCTTGAGGGCCACGGCTCCGGCGGAGGCGGAGCCACTTCAGCTTGCCTCAAATCCACACAAGGCGGGGCGGCAGCTTGGGGGGCTCGAGCTGCCACGGGCTGCTGCGGCGCTTGCCTGAATGGCGGGGCGGCAGCTTGTGCCGTGGCATGTGGGGTTCCAACGGAAGGAGCTGCCACGGGCTGCTGCGGCGCTTGCCTCGGGTCCGTGAATGGCGGGGCGGCAGCTTGTGCCGTGGCATGTGAGGCTCCAAAGGAAGGAGCTGCCACTTGCGGAGCCACCATGGGCTGCTTCGGAGGCGGGGTCTGGCTGGGCCTGGCCTGCGCAGTTTGCGGAGCCGGGGGCATGGCTTGCTGCTTAGCGGGCGTCGGCTTCGTTGACCACCCGCCCCACCCGATGCCTCAGCTGCACGGATGGCGAGAAATCAAGCTTCCTGCGTGGCTGATAATAATCGACGGCCTTCAAATGTGCAGGCTTGCTGCCTGTTTCATGATGACGCAATCCGATGCAAGTAAACATGTTTGCAAGATTCGGCGAGGCACACTATCCTCGATAGACTGCATATCAGGAATTCCGACGTCGTTCAACAGATAATCGTGCTGCAATAATGTTCCTTCTTTGGTAGCTGCGGTGCTCTATGTTATATGGAGTAACTGTGGAATGCGTTCCTGTTTCCACAAGGCGTGAAGAGCCTGCCGTTGGCACTTGAAGAGTGTACGCCTTGTCGCATGCATCTTGGACGCTTACATCACAGAAAGCCCCAGCCCGAGCATTGGAATGTAGTCAAGACAAGCCAAGCGGGCTTCTCGGCGCTAGCAGCCAAGATTCTGCTTTCGACGAGCCTCTGATGCTCCCGGCTCATGATGTGCATCTGCAACATTGAAGGTGGAAGAGAGGACACTGGACTCAGAATCAGCTCTGGCCGTGTGAGACAAAGCCATCGTTTCGTCACAATTTTACTCATCGGAACATTAGCCATGAAAAATGAAAGCGTATGTCGGCAACAACTCTTCACCGTCATCGTAGCAGTAGCCGTAGCAGGCATGGCAGCGGCAGTTGCAGTAGCAGGAGCAGCAGCAGCAGCAGCAGCAGCAGTAGCATTGTTATTATTAGTAGTAGAAGAAGCAGTCGTGGCAGTTCGTTGAAGTGGTAGGGGGAATGGAAATATTCTGATGAGAAGTGGAGAGGTAGCGGTAGCGGTAGTGATAGTGGCAGTGGCAGGAGTAGGGACAGTGGAAGTGGCAATGGCAACAACATAGTAATAATAGCAATAGTAGTAGTTAGTAGTAGTAGTA